CAGAGGCCCCGGGCTGCCCGGCTCGGCGGGGCCGCCGCGGCCTGCTCCGCTCCGCTCCGTCCCGTCCTGCCCCGTCCCGTCCCCAGCCTCACGGAGGGCCGGACCCTGGGCCCCAGCCGGCGCGGCTCCAGCCGGGCTATAAATACCCGGCGCCGGATTAACCGAAGTAGGACGCGGGGGGGAGGGGGGAGCGAGGAGGAGGAGGAGGGTCGCGGTGAGGGGCGGCGGGGGCAGGGGCAGGGGCGCACCGGGCCGGGCTGCCTCCCCGGGCAGGGCTCAGACACGGGAGGCGCCGTCCCGTGTCCCCCGTCCCGTCCCGCAGCCCCCGTCCTGCCCCTGTGCCCGTCCCATCCCCTCCCCGTCACTGCCGCCGCTCTGCCCCGGTGCAGGTCTGTCCCTGCGGCCCTCCGGGATGAAGCTGAAGAAGCAGGTGACAGTGTGTGGAGCTGCCATCTTCTGCGTGGCCGTCTTCTCCCTCTACTTGATGCTGGACAGGGTGCAGCATGACCCCACGCGTCACCAGAGCGGGGGCAACTTCCCCAGGGTGAGCGGCAGGGGACGGGACAGCGGGCAAGCGGGCCAGGGCTACCAGGGGCCAGCTGGCACAGCCTGAGGCTGCTCGGTTGCCCGGGCCAGGGTTTGTTCCCTGCTGCTGTCAGTGCCCACAGGGGCCAGGACCCACCTGCCAAAGGGCACCGGAGGCTCTCACCGTGGCGTCTGTGTCCCCAGAGCCAGATCTCGGTGCTACAGAACCGCATTGAGCAGCTGGAGCAGCTGCTGGAGGAGAACCACGAGATCATCAGCCACATCAAGGACTCAGTGCTGGAGCTGACGGCCCACGCGGAGGGGCAGCCAGCAGTGTCCCACCACACGCCCAATGGCTCCTGGGTGCTGCCCCCCGAGAGTCGCCCGAGCTTCCTCTCCGTCTCCCCACAGGACTGCCAGTTTGCCCTGGGGGGCAAGGGCCAAAGCCCAGACCTACAGGTGAGGGGCCAGCACCTGAGCCCCACAGCTCAGGGCCTGTCTCTGCCAGCATGAGGGGGTCCATACCTGGGCGTCTGTGGGGCCCTAGCCCTGCTCTGTCAGGGGTCTCTCAGTCCAGTGTCTGCTCTGAGCCCTGTCTCCCTCCTGGCAGATGCTGGCTGTATACTCCCTGCTGCCCTTTGACAACCAGGACGGCGGGGTATGGAAGCAGGGCTTCGACATCACCTACGAGCCCAACGAGTGGGACACTGAGCCCCTGCAGGTGTTTGTGGTGCCACACTCCCACAACGACCCCGGTGAGCAGCAGGCGAAGGCTGGCAGGAGAGGGGAAGGGCTAGCCAACCCCCTGCTGCCCCACACTGCTGGCAGGGAAGGGCTGGGCCCAACGCAGTGACCCCCCCTGCCTCCCCCCATGTGCTGGCAGGCTGGATCAAGACCTTTGACAAGTACTACTATGACCAGACGCAGCACATTCTCAACAGCATGGTGCTGAAAATGCAGGAGGACCCGCGCCGGCGCTTCATCTGGTCCGAGATCTCCTTCTTTTCCAAGTGGTGGGACAACATCAGCGCCCAGAAGCGGGCTGCAGTGCGGAGGTATGGCTGCCCGATGTCCCCACTGCCAGCGCCGTCCTGCTCGCCCTGGGGTGCCCTGGCACTGCCAGCACCTTCTCGCTACTGTGAGAGGTCAAAAGCACAGCAGTGTGGAGTGAGTGCTGGGGCACTGCCAGCTCCGCAGCGGGGTCCTGAGGGGCTGGGGGAGGCAGGTCTCCCCCTGCGCTGCTCCTGTGCTCACAGGGCTGGGGAACCCCCTCCAGTCGCTGTGACTGTGAGCGCTGCCACAGAGCTGGAGCGGTGCCGGCACCTTGCATGGCCCAGGGGCATAGGAGACCTGCAGGGCAGGATTGTGTGGTGGGAGAAGGCCCCCTTGTCAGCACCCTTGCCCCGGAGGAGGACAGAGGGAACACGGGCTGCAGTGCACAGTGGGAGGGGTTGGCCTGTGTGAGGGTGGGCTCTGGTTGTGGTCTCAGCCAGCACGGTGCTGTGGGGGGACGTCTGTCCGTGTGGGCAATGGGTCATGGCAGCCAGTGGTTGCAGAAGTGGCTCCAAGATGGGGGGAGGCTCTGCCATGACCACAGGGCTCTCATGTGTCCCCCTTGCAGGCTGGTTGGCAACGGGCAGCTGGAGATGGTGACGGGTGGCTGGGTGATGCCTGACGAGGCCAATTCCCACTACTTTGCCATGATCGACCAGCTGATCGAGGGGCACCAGTGGCTGGAGAAGAACATCGGTGAGAGCTGGGCGGGATGCCAGGCAGGGGAGTGCTGGGGGGGCCTGCACCAGTGGGCATCCCTGGCAGGAGCCCGCTCTCGGGAGGTGCTGCTGGGCCTGGTGTGGGGCTGACGGGTGTCTGTGCCCCCAGGTGTGACGCCCCGGTCGGGCTGGGCTGTTGACCCCTTTGGGTACAGCTCCACCATGCCCTACCTGCTGAAGCGCTCCAACCTGACGGGCATGCTCATCCAGCGCGTGCATTACGCCATCAAAAAGCACTTCGCTGCCACCCAGAACCTGGAGTTCATGTGGAGACAGACATGGGGTGAGGACCTGCCGTGAGGTGGCTGCAGAGGTGACCCTGCCGGGGTGGGTGGCAGTGGGGGACTGCTACTGGCTGCTGTCCTGTGTGGGTGGTGAGCCGAGCAGCAGGCGGTGATGTCTCTGCCCTGCAGCGGTTTTGCCCTGTGGGACAGCCCCAGGGTGACTCCCCACCCTCCAAGGGAGGCTGCTGTGCTCTCTGGGGTGCCAGCGGGTGAGCCTGTGCCTCAGGTCTGCTCTGCCCCAGCAGCCATCCCCGTGCCCGTCTGCCCGCCTGCTCGGGGACAGGCAAAGCAGAGCCATTGCTGGTGCTCATCTGTCCTTGGCCCCACAGATCCAGATTCCAGCACCGACATCTTCTGCCACATGATGCCCTTCTACAGCTACGATGTGCCCCACACCTGTGGGCCAGACCCCAAGATCTGCTGCCAGTTTGATTTCAAGCGCCTGCCAGGCGGCCGGATCAACTGCCCATGGAAGGTGCCTCCCCGAGCCATCACGGATGCCAACGTGGCAGAGCGGTGAGTGCTGCAGGGGCAAGGGCAAGCGGCTTGGAGCCCCACGGCCCCCTCCAGGAGCCAGCCTTATGCCTTGTCCCCCTCATGGCAGAGCCCAGCTGCTGCTGGACCAGTACCGCAAGAAGTCCAAGCTGTACCGCAGCAAGGTGTTGCTGGTGCCCCTGGGAGATGATTTCCGCTACGACAAGCCGCAGGAGTGGGATGCCCAGTTCCTCAACTATCAGCGCATCTTTGACTTCCTTAACTCCCGGCCCAACCTCCATGTCCAGGTACCTGCAGGAAGGTCTGGGGCAGCACCGGAGGGGCTTGGGAGGAGCAGGGCCCCACGGGGGGAGGTTGTAGGGAGGGTGGGAAGTGCCGGGAGGGGTGGTGGGAGCTACAGCAGGTCCCCGTGGTGCTCAGGGCAGTGTGTGCCGTCCCACAGGCGCAGTTTGGGACGCTCTCCGACTACTTCGATGCCCTGTACAAGAGGATGGGCATTGTGCCGGGGATGAAACCACCTGGGTTCCCAGTGCTGAGTGGGGATTTCTTCTCCTATGCGGACCGGGAGGATCACTACTGGACAGGCTACTTCACCTCCCGGCCCTTCTACAAGAGCCTGGACCGGGTGCTGGAGGCCCATCTCCGGTGAGGGGCAGCAGGCTGGGCCCTAGGGCAGGGGTTGTGGGCAGGGGCCACGGGCAAGGGTCGGTGCTGGCATTCCTCTGGTCTGTGCCCAGCCACCGATGCCCTGGGGGGGGGGGGCAGGCATGGTCCTGGCAGCGCCAAACCCTCACCCAGCTCCACGGCAGCATGTGCTCCCCCTGACCTCCCTGAGGCCAAGGCCCCATTGTGGACCATCAGTGCGAGGGCAGGCTGGGCTGGCAGCTCCCCCTCTGCCCTCCGCCCTGGCACTGCTCGTCCTGGAGTGTTCCAGTGGCAGAGCAGGGCCCCCCAGTGACCCTGTCCCTGTGCAGGGGGGCAGAGATCCTGTATAGTCTGGCACTCGCCCACGCCCGCCGCGCCGGTGCCGAGGGCCGGTACCCGCTCTCCGACTACTCCCTGCTGAGCAACGCCCGCCGTAACCTGGGCCTCTTCCAGCACCACGACGCCATCACTGGCACCGCCAAGGAGGCCGTGGCGGTTGACTACGGAGTCCGGTGCGTGCAGGGAGCAGGGGTGCAGCCATGGGGGCCCCATCTTGGACGGGAGTTGGTGGCCATGGGGCTGGGAGCGTGGCTGGGTGTGGTGGTCCTGTGGGGCCCTCCTCCCCGGGGGATGTTGGGGGAAGGCTGGGACAGGACTGGGGGATGGTGCCGGGTGCCCCTCTCCCTGGGAGGGTGTCGGGGATGTTGGGGAAGGCTGGGACAGGACGGGGGTACAGTGCTGGGTGCCTCACTCTGCCTGTGCCCCAGGCTGCTCCACTCCCTCACCAACCTCAAGCGGGTAATCATCAACGCTGCACATTACCTGGTGCTGGGGGACAAGGACACCTACCACCACGACCCCGCTGCACCCTTCCTCAGCATGGTGAGCAGCCCCTCACTCCGTGGCTCCCCGTGCCCCAGTGCGCTGGGCCATGTTGGCCCATTGTCCGTCCCTGTGCCCCCCAGGGAGCACAGGCGGTGCTGGGTGGGGGCCCGGGGAGAGAGCCCCAGCCTGTGCCTGTGTCCCCTGGCCCGGCTGGCGGGGGGGTGGGCACACCCCAGCTCTGACTGCTCCTCTTTCTCTGCAGGATGACACACGCCCCAGCCAGGACTCCCTCCCAGAGAGAACAGTGGTCAAACTGGACACCTCACCTCGGTAGGGACTGCCTGCCTTGCTCTTGGGGTTTGTGGGACCATGGTGGGGTGGTAAGAGGGGTACCTGGGACTCCGCGAAGCAGTAGGTGTGTGCACAGGACCTGTGGATGGCATGGGGCACGTGGCATCTGTGATGCTGTGGGGCTGGGGTGGCCATCCCTGTGTCACCCCACCCCACAGGTTCCTGGTGGTGTTCAACCCACTGGAGCAGGAGCGCCTGAGCCTCGTGCCGGTGCTGGTGGACTCCCCACATGTGCGTGTTCTCTCCGAGGAGGGGCAGCCCCTGCCTTCCCAGCTCACTGCCCACTGGGGCTCCGCCACCGACATGGTGCCCGACATCTACCAGGTACGGTACCTACCAGAAGCGCTGAGCCGGGGGCTTTGCCTTCCTGGCACCCAGCAGGTCCCCAGCTTGCCCTTGTGTAGAGGGGCTGGCTGAGGTGTCCCTGCTGCCCGCAGGTGTCTGTTCTGGCCCGCTTGCCTGCGCTGGGGCTGCGTGTGCTGCAGCTGCACAAGTCCTTCAACGGCCACCCCCCTTTGAAGTCCTCCGTGCGCCTCTACCTGCATGGCCGGGACTTGCCCGTGCGCAAGCAGGAGGCTGTCCCCGTGCACGTCTTGCCATCCACCGCCGATGACTTCTGCCTGGAGAACCAGCACCTGCAGGCCTGCTTCTCGGGGCGCTCAGGCCTGCTGCAGGCAAGCACGGGGGTCCAGCGAGTGGCTGGGGGCTGTGAAGGAGGGGAGGGGGACACAGCGCTGCCCCGTGCGAGGTGTGCTCACTGCTGTGCTGGCCCGTGCCCCGCAGAGCATCCGCCGAGCCGGGGAGGAGCGGGAGCACAGGGTGAGCAGCGAGTTCCTCATCTACGGCACCAGGACCTCCAAGGACAAAAGCGGAGCCTATCTCTTTCTGCCCGACGGCGAGGCCAAGGTACAGGCACTGCCTCCGAGAGGCAGCTGGCAGCCATGCCCGTGGCTGCTTCACACCCCTGCAGGCAGCAGCCTCAGCGCAGCCCTCCTTCCCCCACAGCCCTACGCCCCCAAGGACCCCCCAGTAGTGCGTGTGACGGAGGGAGCCCTCTTCTCAGAGGTCGCCAGCTACTACCAGCACGTCCAGACTGTGGTGCGGCTTTACAATGTGCCAGGTGAGACAATGCTGTGCCGGAGTGGTCGCTTGCCCAGGGGTGCTGGGCGATGCTGCCAGTGGGACCCAGCCCCTCGCTGCCTGCCCGCAGGGGTGGAGGGCCTGTCCCTGGACATGTCTTGCTTGGTGGACATCCGTGACCACATCAACAAGGAGCTGGCCTTACGCTTCAGCACAGACATCGAGAGTGATGACACCTTTTTCACAGACCTCAATGGTTTCCAGGTATTCAGAAGGCTGGGGAGGGGACAGTGCCCTCAGGGGGACAGTGCCCTGCCACCTGGCATCACAGGAGATACCTGTGGCCACTGACCTCTGTCTCCCTCGGCAGATCCAGCCCCGCAGGTACCAGCGTAAGCTGCCGCTGCAGGCCAACTTCTACCCCATGCCTGTCATGGCCTACATCCAGGACATGCAGAGCCGTCTGACGCTGCACACAGCCCAGGCCCTGGGGGTCTCCAGCCTCGGCAGCGGTGAGCCCGCCCTTTGGGGACCAGGGGACTGTGCCTTGGGGGGCTGCCGCAGAGCTGGAGATGCTAGGGAGAAGGGTGCTGGGACAGGGTGGGTCCCCCGGTCCTGCTGTCTCTTGGGGGCTCCATGGCTGCCCCCAGTCCCATGGGAGCATTTCTGCATGGGGCGGCTGGCCCCACAAAGCTGGGGTTAAAGCCCAGGACGCTGGGACCCCCCTCTCTGCAGGCCAGCTGGAGGTGATCCTGGACCGGCGCCTCATGCAGGATGACAACCGGGGCCTGGGCCAAGGGCTGAAGGACAACAAGCGGACCTGCAACCGGTTTCGGCTCCTCCTGGAGCGCCGTGCCGCTGCCAACAAGGTTTGTGAGCTGTGAGGCTGCAGGAGGGGGTTCGGGCACGGTGCTGCTCGCCCAGAGAGCCCAGCTCTGCCTTGGGTTGGAGCAGGGTGTAGGCATCTGCAGAAAGCCGTGTGTGCGACTGGGTGCCAGGTCTCCTCCCCTGCTGCCCCGTGGCCCCCCCGGCCATTGTGCTGGCACTGCACAGGGTCTGGGGCAGGGGGTGTGTGGGGAAGGGGGGACCATGGAGTGGGGTCTGTCCTGGTGCGGAGCCATGCCACCCTCGTAATCACCATGTTCTTGTCCCGTCACCTCGCTCCTCTCTATGCATGCGCTATGTCACCCATTCAGAGCTCCGGCTTCTTTTCCAAACTGGCCTCCGTGTTTAAAGCCTTGGGCTTCCCCGGCGCCAGGACTGGCAGCCCAGAGGTAACGGCCGGCCTGGCCCCACTGTCTCTCCCTGTCTCGTGCTCTAGCTGCTAGCAACTAGCCTACCCAGGCCCCATAGTCTCACCGTTGGCTAGCCAGGGTCCACGCAGGCTGCCCAGCCCACAGCTGCCCTCCCTGTTTGGTTTGTGGCTGGGTGGGAGCAGCTCTGAGTGCCCTGCACTGGCAGGTGCTGCAGGAGCAGCTGCAAGGAGCTCCATGGACCCTGTCCAGGCTCTGCCCAGCTCTGTGGCTCCCCTGGCCTGCACTGACCCACATGCTCTTTGACAGGTGCAGGACAGCCGCCCCATCAGCTTCCCCTCCCTGCTGAGCCACATCACCTCCATGCACCTCAACGCCGAAGCCCTGGTCATGCCCGTGGCCCAGGAGAAGCTGGCCCCGCCAGCCCTGCGCTCCTTCATGCCCCTTTCCACCACCCTCCCTTGCGACTTCCACATCCTTAACCTGCGGATGCTGCAGGCAGAGGTGAGCTGCGCCCCGTGAGTGGGACAGGCGTGCCCCCCCAGCAGCAGGGCTCTTGGGGAGGGGGGGTCTGGCACCCTCTGTCCCCAGCATCGCGCCTCACACCCTGGCTCCCCAGCAGGATGACTTGCTTCCCTCTGCTGAGGCGGCCCTGATCCTGCACCGCAAAGGCTTTGACTGCAGCCTGGAGGCCAAGAACCTGGGCTTTAACTGCACCACCAGCCAGGGCAAGGTAAGGCCAGGCTGCGCCCCAACCCACCAGTTGCCCAGGCTGAGCTGGAGGATGTTGGTTTATCAGGAGGGGGGTCTGGAGCCTTGCACAAGCCCCACACCCCGCAGCGAGGAGGGGCAGGGCCTGGGCTGGGTCAGCAGGGTGTCCTGGGTGCTCCGGGGGGGTGCAGGGATCTGGCAGTTGGCACAGCACGTGTGGGGCTGCCCCGTGCACCATGTGCCACTCCCCTGGGCCACTTGCCCTTCTCCCTCCTCTCTCCCCAGCTGGCCCTGGGCAGCCTGTTCCAGGGGCTGGAGCTTGGCTCCCTGCAACCCACCTCGCTGACCTTGATGTACCCGCTGGGCACAGCCTCCAACAGCACCAACATCCGCCTGGATCCCATGGAAATCGCCACTTTCCGCGTCCGCCTGGGGTAGCGTCTCTGGGAGCGGGAGAGGAGCAGACTGGCCGGGCAGCACGGGAGCTGCTGAGCCCAGCAGGACCAGCACAGCCCGGCAGAGGCTGGGCCAGTGGGCCCATGCCCAGCAGGCGGGCGCTGAGCAGGAGGTGCCAGGCTTGCAAAGGCTGCTGCCTTCTAATTTATTAGTCCTGTGTTCTCAGATAGATTTCGGAAGTGAACTGTGGAGGCTGCCGGGTGCTGCCTGGGTGCAGAGGGCATGGGTCGGGCACTGCTCCGAGCAGAGCACGGCTGGCTGGGGCACGGGCCAGGCTCTGCCACTGCCGGCAGGATGGGCACGGCTGCCCCGGGAGGGTGCCAGCCCCCCGTGTCCAGGGGCAGGGGCCTGAGCCGGTGCCTGGGCTCCCCCTGACCCTCGGGGCAGCACGGGAGCTGCCAGGAGCCCAGTGGGGTGGAGGCAGCTGGCGGCGCAGTGCTGTGGACTGGAGATTGAGCTCCCCTGGAGTTTGTAGGAAACACCGGGCTGTTTCAAAAGGCCTCGGTCTCTGCCTGGTTTGTGGTTCTCACACTGGTTGTCTGGGGGAGCAGGAACGGGGCTCCATGGGGAGACGAAGCAGCCGGGGGCCAGGCTCGGAGCTGTGGCCAGTGCCAGGTGGGCTGTGGGCTGTGCCATGCTCTGCTCCACGGGGTCCCTGCCCAGACAGTGCTCCCAGGGCTGAGCCAAGCGGCTGGTGGCACAGCTGGACCCAGCCACGCTCAGGGGCAGGCCGTGCCAGGAGCAGCGGGAGGCAGGGGGACGGGGTGTGGACCCCCATTAGGCATCTCCTTGTGCGGGCAAAGCGTGTGGCTCTAGTGCCTGAGGAGCACAGCTGACCGGGCTGCGGTGCCCCAGGGCCTACGGGAAGCCCTGTCGCCAGGAGCATCCTCTGGTTGCTGTGGGGACCACAGGGGCTGCCGTGCTCCCCTGGCCCCCCCGGGGCTAATTACTGTGACAGGGTGCTGTTGGGAAGGGCTGCAGGGAGGGCTGGTGCTGGCTGAGCTCTGTTCCCCCACAGCCTCCTTGGCCACAGCACATGGAGCCGGCACAGAATGGCACCGGCAGCCTGGACCCTCGCACAGGGCAGGGGCAGGACCCCAGGCCTGGTGCAGGGCTGAGGGGCTGGGCTCACTGCGGGGTTGTGCTGGGGAGCCAGGGGACCACAGCACACCACCAGCATCTCTGCTGGAGCCGGGCTAATGGCCTGGCTGGCGGGGGGCCAGGCTGCTGGCACAGGGCCCTCTGCCCCTGGGACTGGGCTACCAAGAGGCTCCCACAGCCAGCCCACCACAGCCCCAGGGCCAGGCACTTGCCCTGCACCCCAGCCTGGCCTGTGGCCCTCACCAGTGATGCTGGGATCCCCAGATGGGCTGAGATGCCCAACTGGGGCCCATGGACCCGGTGCCCGGTGCCCGCTGCAGTGTGGGGAAGGTGCCTCCCGTCCCGCACTTGGCCCCTGAGAAGCTCATTAGCCATGCTCCCGCCCCGGTCCCTGCGGAGCGGGCAGAGAGTGCAGGAGGCTCTAATGGCTCCAAGCGGCTCTTGATGGGCCTCGATGGAGGCGGGAGCAGGAGGGGCTGTGGTTTCTGCCTCCGCCAGAGCCAGAGCTGCCTCTGCCCAGGGAAGATGCTGTATGGACTCCCGCTCCGGCTGCTCCTTGCCATGGCTCTGTGCCCCGGCCTCCTCGGGACAGGTACAGCACCGCTCCTGCCCCTGCTACTCCCCGAGCCCATCCTCCCTGTCCCTGCTGGGGCCTCATCCCTCGTGGCTGCTCCCCGCTAGCCCGTGATGGAGGTGGTGCCTGGGGGGCGGTGGTCCGCACTGGGGATGCTGGCCCAGGCGTGGTGGTGCCGGGGCTGGTGGCACTGCAGCATCTCTGTGGGGTGAGTGCTGTCCCTGTGGGGTGGTGGGGAATGGGAGGAGGTTCAGCATGGGGAGATGGGGACTTTCCCCTTCCCTCTGCCACCATCACGCTCCTCACCCATGTGTGCCCTTGCTGGGGCCTTGGCGAGCGTTGGAGGTCACGGCACACATGGGGCCAGGGCCACCAGCAGCCAGTGCCAGCTGGGGGCTGTGCTCGGCCAGCGCTGCCCGTCGGGCTGGAGCCCAGCTGCCGCCTGAGCCACCCTGAGGGACGAGCCGGGGGCTCCTGTGCCATGGCGGCCAGTCCCCTGGGGCCAGGGCGCTCCCGGCCCATCCCTCCGCTCTGCAGTGTCCCTGCAAGGGCCATCCCTGGAGCTGGCAGCGGGTCCCACCGGCCCTGCGCTGGTTGCCCTCGGTGCTGGGGTAAAGCCAGGCACGTGCCCCGCTCAGGGGCTCGGTGGCACCTTTCGGCGGGCGCTGAGCCCCGGCCCCTTGCCGCAGTCTTGCCGCAGAACCTGCACCTCTGTGAGGGCTACACCAGCCCCGACGGCCGCTACCACCCCGGCTTCTACTGCCCACGGCTGAGCGACCCCCCCGGCCACCGCTACTGCTGCTGGCCCGGCCCGCTCCACCTCAAGTCCTGCTGCTCCCGACTGGTCCTGGAGGCCCTCACCGGGGTCAACCTCTCTAGCCTGGCACCCCCGGGCCTCCTTCGGTGAGCAGGGCTGGGGCAGCGGTGCCCGGGAGGGGGTGGCAGGGCCCGCGGGGGCTGGCGTGGTGTCACCCCAGGCCCAAAGCGCCAGGGGGAACGGTGTGAGGTGTGTGTGTGTGTCCCCACAGGAACCCGCTGGCTCTGCCCTTCGTGGGGCTCTACGGGCTCCTCATTCTCCTCCTCATGGCCGCCGACCTCTGCCACTTCTACCGGACCCGCCGCTGCCGCCTCGGCCGCCTCCTGCCCCGCGCCCGCCGCCCGCCCTGCGGATCCGCGGGGGGTCCCCGGCCCCGCTCCCGCCTGCCCCCCGGCCGGGTGTGCTGATGGGGGGCTGAGGGCAGG